AATAATAACGGGTAAACAATTTATTTAAAAAAAGGGCATGAAAAAATTATTTTTATACATCGTGTATTATGATATTCGAGAAATTTTATATAAATAAATTTACGCGATAAATATTAATTTTGATTTACATATATATATATATATATAATTATATAAATTGAATATTATTGTACTCTTTGTTTCAACCGAATAAAAAATCCGCGATCTAGTTACCGCTGGAGAAAGCAGAAATATATTTAGAAAGAGGGGGAACAGGGAAAAGAGGGTTCTGAATTCTTTTGAAATCGATGTTTCAAATTGTGATTACGTATAAAAAGAAAAGAATATCGTACTCGACTACGTTTTTAGTCGAGTTGAGCCAGTTTTAAAGAGGAAACTTTACTGGGTCGTGGGTCTCTCGAGACTTTCTTCGGCTTATTTGGCAAACTTGAAGTGATCGTGATTAGAATTAATAGGGAATTATGGAGTACAATATTAATCGTTCGGGGAGGATCATGGGAAATTCGCAACAACGCAGGTGGTTGCGTTCGCCCATTGAGATTATCAATTGTAATCGAGACTAGTACGATCGAATAAATCGAACGGAATACTTGACACTTAGCATCTCCCCGTGTGTAAAGAGAAATGACTCCTATTTGCAATAAATAAAATCTTCGATCTTCAACTCAACTTGATTCGAAAGCTTCGAAATAATTACGAGATTGCAGCTTAATTACAATCACGCGAATCCAATCCGAATTAAGATTAAGATCCTTGGGGAAGGATTCGATTAAAACGAAAAAAAAAAAAAGAAAAAAGAAAGAAAAAAGAAAAGAGAATCAGGGAGGGGAAAATTTAACGATTAACGCGAAAATTTGCGGTAACGGAATTAACTCGGTCGAATTGATCGAATTTATCGAATGGAATTAAAATTCACGATCGCGCCACGTCTCGCGCCACTGTCGTCTCCCACTTTTTCCATGCGTTACACGTGTCACGCGAGGGGAGGGGAGGGGAGGGCAAAGCGGTTACATTATATCGAAGTGTTTTTAGCACGGGGGCAAGCGCAGCCCGTGGAATTATTAATCGCACGCGTGTTTCGCGCGCTAATACTTGGGATTTTAACGGAGTTGGGGAGGGGGGAGGGGGGGAGGCGGGTACGGCGGCCGGGGAAAAATTAAATTGCCGCTCTTTGCCTCGTCAATTAGCATACGAACGATCCATGGGTGACTTTAATCAAGCTAAATGCAATATTTTCCGCGTCGGTGAATGTCATCCTATGATGACACGCGCGCTAATGGCGGAGATATTAATACCTGAGACAAGCTATTAACAATCGATCTAATCGGCTTTCAATCCGATGCGATATTACAACACTCTAGGCAACATACGTGCAAAATCGAGGGGAAATTTATACAAACGTACGAAGTAATAGTAGTAAAAAAAATCGATAAAATATTTTTTTCTCGTTACAGGGACTGATAGCATTCTACGTAACTGATAGTAGTTGTATTCTTTATCGCTTACGATTCTCAGTACAGTGAAAGTTTTATATTTTTATATCTTTTTTTTTTATACTTTTTATATTTTTATTTTATACATTTTTCTAGCCATTTTTCTATCGACATAAAAAAAACGAAACGATAAAAGATAGAATAGATGATAATAAAATTTCCACCGTGAAATGTACGTTAGTTACGTAAACTGGTAAGAAAGTGTCATAAAGGTATCACGAATTTTTTTTCTTCTAAAAAAACTGAAAACCCTATATTCATTTCCGCCCTGCTCGCTCGATTTATCCCTCCGATAATTTTCAAATCGTGCCACGAAACACAAAACGTAAGCTGCCTTTCTCTTTGTGTTTCAGTCGAGGATATGATCAAGGAAGTGGACGTGGACGGAGACGGTCGTATCGATTTCTACGGTAAGCCCTATCCCCCCATAGAAGTTTCTAATAATCGAAAAATACGAGGAGCCGGGAATTCTCGATATGCGCGTGCTTTTTCTTCCGTCCAGAACGGTGGAGGGGTGGAAAAATTTTGGGTGGAAACACGCTGGAAAGAATTTGGAGATAAGGGATACCGTTGGAGACAAGATCGACAATCTTGGAATATTGGCTAGATAAAGTTAAAGAGGATCGGAGAAGTAGTGTCGGACATCGGGTTGAAATTGTAATCGAAACGAAAAAAATCGCTTCGATCTTCCGCCATTTGCATCCTCCGCCCTTCCGAGTATCGTAGATTCGATAGATCGCTCCGTGTTCTCGGGGTAACCTGCATTACCGCCATCTACGATGAACGTTTCGATCACGATTATCCCCTCCCTCTGCTTTTTTCCTCGAAGATGGCTCGGCGCCAAAGATTTTCGTGTAATTTTCCAATCCTTATTTCTCGAAACGACGGACGAGGGACGCTTGATTCGTCGTGGCATTAGGGTTCCAAGAAACTATCTCGTTCTTTCTTGCGCCCCTCCTTGCAGTTCCATCTAATCTCCGACACTTTCCTCGTACGTTACGTACTACTCGTTACATATATCGAGTTTGCCGGGAATTTATATTATTTACGAACACCGGTTGTACAAGAAATTTTATTTTATAATTCTATTCTATGGAAAAGTTTTCGAAATCCCGTAAGTTTTCGTAATCCTATTCCCACTCTACGGGAGGAATTCGAAGTTGTCGTTTTCGAGAGGAGGGAAAAGTAGGGACGAGATGTGAATCGTATCGACAAACCTATCTATTTTTGCGACGTCCTTAAGAACACGCGGTTGCCTATACATATATATATTACAAGAAAGGGTCTTCCTGTTTCCAGAATTCGTCCACGCGCTCGGAGAGCCGGGGATCGACGACGACGAGGAGGACGAGGAGGAGGAGGTGCTGTCCCCGGGCTACTAGGATTTTACTTATTCTCGTGTCTGTGTTAGATAGAACGAATTAACGACGAGCCAACGGACGACGGACATACACGTTCGTCGCATACTTTTTTCCCCCCCTCTGACATTCATTTCGTTGCATGTAATTCGAGCGTCGTGGATCGAAATTCGATCCGATGTTCGATGATACGATTTCTTCGAAAAAAAAAAAAAATATATATATATCTTTTGCTCATCTTCGACGTTGTACATCGAATGAAGCAAAAAGAGAAAAAAGAAAAAGAAGAAAGAAGAAGAAGAAGAACGGAATGGAACGAAGAAAGTAACGGAGGAGAGGCAAGGAAATTTTTAAAATTCGCGCCGGCGCGAAAGATAGTTGCGTTTCGAACCGATAGAGTGAGCCACTCTCTGACGATTAGGTTATCGCGCCAATTCGAAACGCGATGCATCACGGCCTAGTTGTTACGCTCGTTACCTTTGATCAAGGATGTCAGAGGATCTTTTTCGACAAGCATCTATCGTAAGAATTGTAGATACAACGCTTGGTGCGATTTTATGTTACCCGAATCGGAGCACCCCTATTCGATAATTATCTTTTACCGGCTCGTTACGCGATATATCGAAATGTCGATATTAAATTCGTGGCGTCATCAAGGAAATTTGATCGTTTCAATTTCAACGAGATTATTAGTATTATTTCTCTTATATTAAAAAAAAAAAATTATATGATATTGATATTGATCTTGATATTTAATTGCAACGTGAGCAATACGAAAGATGTAGCTTATAAGAGGAAAAAAAAAAAAAAAAAGAAGAAATCAGCTCACGTTTCGTGTAACATAACGTTCCAACAAGCGACGCGTCATCTAATCTTCTTCGTTAACTAACTGCTGCAAAGTATCTAAAAGACCGATGAAATTTTCATGGACCGTGCTCGACGATTCAATGCGATGCGAGACGCGAGAGGTCGATCGGGGAAACGGAGACACGACCATTGATAAAAAAACGATCTTCTTCTGGATTAAAAAAAAAAGAAATAGAAAACGAAGATTACAATGATTGTGCTCCTTTTCCCAAGACGAACGCCCATTTCCTCGCTTAATTACTCGTTCGACGAATCTCTTGGTGTCCAGGTCGCCCGTGTCGATCGATTAGAAAAAGGAAAAAAAAAAAAAAAGAAAAAAAAAAGGAAAAAGAAAAAAAAAAAAGAGCGACCGATTGATAATCGATTTCTTCTCGTAAGAATATGTGGATTTTTCGATTTTAATCTCTCTCGTCTAATCTTGTATAAGTCACGTACTGTATTCTCCATCTATAAAGTAAAAGTAACGTAAGAGTTAAGAAGAATCAAGCACCGCAGTAAAACACGATCGATCGCGATCCGTTAAACCGGATCGTAGATTATGTTATTAGAGATTGTTGCGTTCCCGCCATTTTGGGGGAACACGGACGAACGTGACGTGGACGTGACGTGAAAAACTGGCGCTTGCACTTGAAAGAGAAAAGGAAAAAGAAAAAGAAAAGAAAAAAAAAAAAAACTCTCGAGGAATCGCGGATCCCACGATTCCCCACGCTCGATTTTTACGAGCGCGGGATACAGGATGTGTCGAGGAATCGAACGATTGAATTGTGAATTTTAAATCGATCTTGATCGCTTCGCTCACCTTGAGCTTCGTACTGTGTACCTTATTAACGATATCTCACTGTTACGCCAAATAAGAGCCGCACGCTGTTTCAAATATTTTAAAGGGTCTAATAAATCTACTGAACAAAATTTTTACTGCTACCTCCATTTCTTCATTCATCACTCTTCCCTTGTGAAAATTGTGACGTTGACACGATCAATCAACATGATCGTCGAACTACTCGTGTTCCCTTCATATATATATATATCCAAGAATCTGTTACGTCAAACTGTATACGTTGACGCGTTATTTATATAGTTTTCGATTACATTTTTTTTAATAGCACAAGGATCCATAAAATAGTCGCTGTCGACGAATCGTTTTACGCAAGAGAAGAAATAAAAGTTCGATCGTTGAATTCTTTCAAATTGTTTTATGCGATGATATTTCGAAGAAACGGATATTAATCGATAACAAATGAATTGGTTGCATCCGCATGAATATTCACAACAACAGCCTCGATTATTTTTCTTAAACGTTCATTTTTATTAGCGATAAATAAACTTACATATCTTTACAGTAACAACGTCCTCTCGTAACTCTCGGAAAATATGATAATATCTATCCACGAAAATCCATATAGATCGAGATTTCCGTACTCTTTATTTCCACGTGCCACTCTCTTCCCGTATAATATGTGTGTTGTTCCTGTCGTTGGTTATTGGTGTTTCTCATGTGTCGAACACGTCCGCCCCGTCGAAACGAACGGGTCGTATTTTTTTAAGAAATATCGATACGACGCGAGATTCCGTACCGGGAGGATCCTACAATGTTGCAACGTGTGTTTCTTGCATGCGGTCTACGTACACGCACGGAGCTTTACGCTTCCTCGAATAAAATCCTAACGATAGCGAGCGTACACTGTTGTCCTGAACCTAAACGAAACGAAAACGCTCGAAGACGAGTTCGTTAAGTATCGAGCCGAAAATTCTCTGTTGTTCGATTATTATCGATCATCGTCCAATAGCCCATATCCGCCGTGACGATCGCATCGTCCAATTTTCCATTCCATTCCATTTAGAATGAATCTCTTCCACGAGTACCATCCTGCTTCAACTGGTTTCGCTTTTTTCTTTTTTCTTTTTTTTTTTGGTCTTGAACGTGTAATCTACAATGGCTGTATAATCCTTCCTGTTGCTCGAATCTGGCTGGACATGGCGAACATCGTATCCAAAAAATGATGCATTCGTTCAACCACGACGTCCAGAAGAATCGAAAATACCACGCGATCTCGTAAATTCTCGTAATTCTCTTCATCGATCGACTCTCGATCGTTTCTTCTTCTTTTTTTTTTTTTGCCTTTCTTTTCTCTCTCTCTCTCTCTCTCTCTCTCTTTCTCTCTTGTTCATCGACGAAAAAGGGGCTATACAATAGTCGAAAAATATGATTTCGCCAATGATTTCGAACAAGGCGATATACATGATATATATGTATAGATGTACGTATATTTACCAGTTAAGAGGAAAAAGCTTTCGTATAATGATTCGTATATGTATATATGTATATATATGTATATATATACCATGTGTCTTCGGTTTACTCTGCCAGAGAAGCAAATATGTATTTACACGTATATATTTACGAATATTACGCGGCTAGGCGCATATTTTGTGTGCGTGCTATCGAAGTTACATGCAATTACGGTTGAGAATTAGTCAAAACCTTCACCCCTCAAATCCTTTCTCTTTCTCTCTCTCTCTCTCTCTCTCTCTCTCTCTCTCTCTCTCTCTCCTGTTCTCTTCGATTTTAATCCATCCATGGTGTGTTTAATGGAACGTTCGCGTGAACCGAAAAAAACGGATCGAGTTGATAAATACATCGTCGATTGATTTCGCGCGTTTTTGTTTTTTTTACAAAAAGTCGAACAAGCGCGTTTTCCCTATTCGCTCTCATTTTCTTTTTTCTTTTTTTTTTTTTTTTTGGTTTCCACCGCGTGCAGTTTAATTAATTAATGGCGCAATCGTCGAACCGTCAAGGACGACATTTTCATTGACCGCAAAAAAAATGAACGTCCTATCGATTCGAAACGATACAAACAATATCTCCGTGTCGTTTTTAAATACTTTTCGTTCTCTCTCTCTCTTTCTCACTCTTTCTTTCTCTCTCGCTCTCTCTCCCTCCCTAATTGAAAGACGTCAAGGCGAACAATCACGTTCGAATTCATCGAAAAATGCTCGAAAAGATGAGGCTCGTTCTCGACGGGTGAGCGCGGGGGCACGATTTTACAAAAATTTTGGTATTTCTTAAGCGACTAACCCTAATTACGTCACCGACGCGAGACACGAGGCTCGTTCGTTTTATCAAATCACAATTATAATATAAAAAATCAAGTGTCCTCCTCTCGTTTACGCTAAAATTGCGGTCCCTTGAGCAGTCGAGGTTTTGGCGCTTCTCAAAGTAGTCACTTCATCTCCCCTCTTCGTTTCTTCGGTTCTTCGTCCACCAATCGAAATTTGCTTGAAAGGCGGCTCGAGTCCCGTCGAATCAACCACTTTTCCCCCCTCCCTAAATCATCCGTATTTCCACTTCGGATTCGGATCCATTCATCTCCCACGAAAAAATTCACCCTCGAAATCGCGAAAGATTTCGTTGCACGATTCCGACAAGAGTCCGGTGTCTGGCCAGACACCGCAGCGTCCCGCGTGCTCTGAACTCGTAAAGTACAACCGAAGTCTCAACATGTTGGTTGGTTATTTTTTTTAAACGCTAACATAAGTGTCCTTACGTAAGTAACATTTAAACCGCGCACAACGTTTTGTTTAAGTAGCTTTTACGAAGCAATTGTATATCGTTAGATATCGAACGAACCGCGACGACGGTTCCACGACTCGTTCTCATACTCTCGACGGAACAACCACTCGTGAGAAGAAGAAGAAGAAGAAAAAGAAGAAAAAAAAAAATCCGATCCGTCGTTGCGTCCGTTGCGTCGAACGAGTAGTATATATATATATATGTATATATATCTCTATTTTCGTGCATCGACGTTCCTCTCTCTCTCTCTCTCTCTCTCTCTCTCTGGAGAACGCTCAAGGCTAAATGAAAACGAAACGCGAAACGATCCGATTAAGGGCATCTTCGTGCCGAGATAGAGAAAATCGCGCACCGATCAGAGGTCCGATCCTTTTATTAGACAAATATGGAGGACCTCTGGTGCACGCGTCGACCGTTTACGAATAAACGGGGAAACGAAGTTTGGTTTTCGGCGGAAGAAGAACAACCTAACGAGACATCCTCAAGCCCAAGAAGATTGGAATACTCTTGGTTTATTTCTCTTGGTTTCTCGAGCCGTGTAACACGTATCTCGTCCTCGTTTCATCCTCGCGTGTATTCGACGGTGTTGAAAATACGATTCATCGATTCATCCCCCCTTTAGCATTCTCCCTCAGGATTTTGAATCTTGGTCGCGGCGGCGGTGGCGAAACGCATTCTCCTCCTCCTGACCACGGAGAACGCCGATGACGGTAATTTTCGACGGCGATGCGAGGATGAGATCGAATCACGATCGAAATCCCATCTCGCGACGGGTCTCCCTCAAAGGACCGGCTCCTCGTCGGTCTCCTCCTCGTTCTCGTCCTGCTCCCCCGCCTGCCACTGGACGAGCGCCCCGACCGACGAGATCGAGTTCGCCTTCGCTCTTCGCTGCTGCCTCTTCTGCTGCCCGCTCGCGCCACCTTGCCCGTTCCCGCCGCCGCCGCTCACGGCCAAGCTGCAGCAACCGCTCGATCCGCTCGAACTGCTCCCCGGGGTGTTGACCACGGACGAGACCAGGTCCAGGTCGATCTGTTGCTCGTGGGCGTCGATCAGTGGCCGAAGAGCGGTTCTCAGGGACCAGTAGAGGCGAGGGTAAGCGCGCTCTTGTCCGAGTATCAGCTCCTTGCTTTGTTTCCGCTTCTGCAACAGGATCGAAAGGTGTTAGTAGGTGTGGTTGTCGTTCTGTCTAATCAAAAGCGAAGCGATTGGAAGGAAAACGCGTGAGAATCGATCGCGTCTAATTAAAGGGGGACGGGGAGAGGCAGGACGATTAGAAGTAAATCCGAGGAGGAGAGGAGATTCGCTCACCTCGGGAAGGTCGCTCGACCCGATTCCCCGTGAAACCAGCAGCTTCTTGCTCTCGACGAATTGCCTCAACGCCTTCTCCCGCACGTAAACGAACGGCCGCACGACCCTCAGATCTTGGCGGCGTATGTAATAGTGGGCTTTCATGGTTCTCAGCTTGCCTCCGTGAAACACCGAGACGAGGAAACCCTCGGTCAGATCGTCCAGATGTTGGCCCACGGCCAATACGTTGTAATTGTGTCGCTTGGCGATCGCGTACAACTGCGCCCTGGTCGCCCGATCGCAGAAGCTGCACGCCCCGCTCGCGTCCACCCCCTCCACCCCTCGACTAACGCCGCTGTTGGCGTTGCTCTCGTCGCTCGTCGCAACTTGCTCCTCGCGGAAGTAAGGGACGTTCAAACTCTTGAGATAGCTGGCCAGTTCCAGGGGGTTGGGTCCGTTCGCGTCCACGGTCGCGGCGCCGATCTCGAAGTCCACCCCCTTCGACCTCACGTAGAATCGGTATTGGTGCAACGTGTGCAACAAGGAGAGGGAGCTTTTGCAACTGGTCGACAAGCAAACAAGCACCCGGTCGTTGTCCCGAATCATGTCGAACTCCTGCATCGCCTCGACGGCTGGCTTCCAGATGTTCTTCGGCGGGCAATGCCACTGAGGTCGCCACGCTTCCACCTTCCCGTCCTTCGACTCGAACGTCCCGCTCCCTTGGTCCCCCCCGTCCTCCTCCTCCTTCAAGTCGTTGCCCGAGCATTCCTCGTCCTCGGAGAAGTCGTCGTTCTGACGGACTTGTTGCTGCTTGCAACTGTTCGATTTGTTGGGCAGCGCGGTCATCGAGGACGTCCTCGGCTTGCGGCCGTAGCTGTTGGTGGAATTCGACTCGGCGCTGCTGCTGCGCTTCAAGTCGACCGAGTCGAGGGATTTGTCGCTCTCGTGAAACGACAGATTGATACCGCTGTCCTGAGAGCTGACCGAGTTCACCGCGGAATAAATTTTCGGCAGGACCTTTCTCGCGTCGCCTATCTCCAAACCGCCGCGCTCTTGGGAATCGTCGTCGTTCAAGTCGTCGTCCAGGTCGTGCACCACCTCCTCGTCGTCCGTTTTCGACCGCTTGCTTCGACTCACCATCTGCTCGCCCTCGGCCGGCTTCATCACGTATATCACCGTCTCGTCGGACGAGCACTCGCTCGACATCTTGCTCTCCTGCTGGGTCAACTCGCCCACCTTCCCGGAGATCTCTATCGGGCCGCTTCGCCTCGCGGCCGATATCCTCGCGGACGCCGACGCTTGGACGATCCTCCCTCTGTCGGGAGAGCCGCACCCGTTCGAGGACACGTCGGATGCCGACGCGTCGGGGGAGTGTCTGTGCAGTCCGTCCACCGCGTTCACCATGCACCTGATCTCGGACTTCACCTCGCTGGCCATCTCCTTCGAGAACTCCATCAGGTATTCCGCGATGTCGCTCGCCGTGAACGAATCGTGCCTCGTCTGTTTCTCCTCGACCGAGAGCTGCCCGACCGCGTTCAAGTTTCGGGAATGATGCTGCGGCGTGTTCTCCGACGTGTTCGTCTCCGACAGGGCGTCGTCCACTTTCGAGATCACCTCTCGTATCTCCGACTTGATCTCGGTCGCCAACTCCTTCGTCATCTCCTTCACGTAAGCCCTCAGATCGTCCTCCGACCTTTGGCCGCCGTTCGCCGAGATCGGGGACGACCTGCCACCCCCGCCTACGAATTTTTCCGTGTAATCGCTGACCGACGAGTAGGAGGAGGGGGGCGAGGTCGCCGTGTGACAATTCAACGACAAGATCGAGTGGCTCGGGCTCCCGTTGTCCAACTCCAACGAGTTCAAGTCCGTCTGGCTGCTGCAACTGCAATGGTGGCGCCTGTGCTTCGAGTAGGTGCTCCCGTTGTTACTCCCGCTCAGCCCGAGGCTCGTCAACGTCTGCGGGCTGAGGGGCAGCGGGGGGATCGGGGAGGAGGAGGAGGAGGCCACGTTTCGATTGGCGGGATCCGCGGCGCCACCGCCGCCGCCGCCGCCGCCGCCACCGCCTCCGCCTCCGCCACCGCCGCCGCCCCCGCTGCTTCCCAGAGAGTTGCACCTCACTCGGCCGGCGTTCGAAGGCTCGATCAGGTCCCTTTGCTCCTTGATCGGCCTGTTGGCCGCGTGGGACGGCATCGCGCCGAGGGCGGACGGCGTCACGGCCTCGCCGACCGCGAATCTGACGGGCGTCGGCGAGCTCGGGCAAGTGGCGGGCGACCTCTGACCCTTGGCCGACTCGAGCTCGGCCGAGATCGAGCGCGGCTCCTCCTCGTTCCCGCTCCCCGCCCCGGAGGACGAGGACGCGTTCAACAGCGTCTTCCTCGCCGAGCTCAACGCGGGCAGGCTTCGATGCCTCGGCGAGTTGGGGGAGATCGGCACGTTCCCCGTCCGGGGGATGTCGCTGTTCAGTCGGCGGATGCTGTTGGCAAGGGCGAGGGAGTTGACCAAGCTGTCGTGGGTGGTGGTGGGCGTGTGGTGGCCGTGCTTGCTCCAGGACAGCATCGGGTTGAAAGGCACGTCTTGCTTCACGTTCTGCGAGTTGCCCAGAAGAAGGTCCTGCGCCTCGCTCGGCAGCATGAACCATCGAAGGGACTCGAACCGTTCCGACACGAAGTTGTAGCTACGGTCTATCTGGAGCGGATACCTCTGCGCCATTTTCCTAGCCCGGTTGAAAATATTGCGCGCCGTCTGCAGACAATCGCCGTAGTTCTGGGGAAGTACGCCCGTTCCGGACACCCGCCTCTCGGAGGCGTTCATCTTCCCGTCCGTGTATCTGATGGTGCTCAGCCACTTTCGCTCCTTGAACACGCTGTTCGTGTGGTGCCTCCATTCCCCCGTGTCCGGGTTCAACACGTACTGCGGCAACAATTTCCACCCTTCCGTCGCCACCATCTTCAACGCCTCGAGAACGAACGCGACCTCCGCCTCGGACATGAAGAAGGGGAACGACAGTTTCGCGAATCCGGGCCTCAAACCCTCCGCGTTCGTCTCCTCGTTCTTCTCCACGTTCCTCTCCCTGCAAACGATAAGATGACCCGATCTCGCTTGCTGCGACGCGTGTGCGTGTGCATATCTGTATGTACATATCGAATGCGAGCGAATCGATACGAGAGCAGCCTACCGCCACTTACCCCTCTATCAAAGCTTTCTGGTATTCCTTGGCGAGTCGTTGGTCGATCCCCATCAGGTCGTGAGCGTAACGGCCGGCACACGCGCACCCGCCACGCGCCTGTATACCGAACACGTCGTTCAACACGGCGCACACGAAGTTGTGGTGGAGGAACGTGCCGCGCGGGTGACGAACCATGAACGAGAAGATCGGTAGCCTCTTGACATTCTGGGAGCCGCTGCCGAGCAGAATCAGTTCCGGAATCGTGCGTACGTGTGCCAACACTTGCCTACGGGAGGGGAGAGAAGCATGAATAACGATGATAATTTACGACTTATGCGTCGTCCCTCGTCCAAAATCGATCGAGTTTTATTATGCTCTTGGAAGAACAGCTCCCGTTTCAGCAAACGGGGAATCGGCTCGATCGAAGCACGCGATTTCGGACGAAGAAGAGGCAAAGTTAATTCGTATCTGGTACACGGGAGAGGAAGTGAAAAGCGTACCTCGATATCTTATCTTGACGAGCGACGATCGCTCGAGGCGTCACGTTCTCCTTCAGTTGAACCGCGAGTCCGCATCTGATGGCCTCCACGACACCCGCGGTGCCGCTCTCCTCGCGGAGTTCCGCGTCCCGGTGGTAGTGATGGGAGTCCCTCATGTCCTCCGTGGCAATTTTATCTTTGAGAAGGGACCGTTTGGTCACGAGCACCCCGGGTGACTGTACACCGCCGATGAACTTGTGCCCGGCGAAAATAATCGCGTCTTTGTGCACGGTCGTCTCACCGACGCCGGGCAGATGTGGGTTCATGTCGATCTGTACGTACGGGGCTGCAAGATAATATATATATATATATATTTTATCGCGACGAAGAGAGAGAGGGAGGGAGAATAACGAGAGAAAATTTGCATACGACACGAGGTTTTACGCAACGAGATAATTGAACGCAGGTAACATCCGAGCGATTGAATGGTGAGCGCGATAATGGTAGGTGTATTTTTATCGTGAAATGGGGCAAACGTTGCGTCACGTTAATATCTTTCGTCGATTCGACGATCCGCACGGGCATGATCGTTACCTGCTGTGGTGTAATCCCAGATACTGAGCGCCCCATACTGATGGAGGAGGAGGGTCGTGGCGACGTCATCTGCCAAAACCCCGGTTATGCAACTGGCAGCGCTGAAGCATCCGATCATTTGCGTAACACCCTCGGATCGCATCTTGATCAAGCTTCGATCGAGATCGTTCAAGTCTAAGAAGCCCTCCCGGGTCTCCGACACTCGTATTATCTGCGGTTAATTATTCCAAAATGTTACGACAGATTCTTCTCTTCGCTTGCAATTTGCATACTATCATAGACCATGTGCGCGATGAACGGTGCTTATTAATTTTCACGTAATTTATTCGTGATCGAGACGATTATGCGAAGAGCGAGTAATTATATATTTGCGCATTGTATCGTTATTTTTTCTTTTATGCAGTTATATATAGTTAACACAATGAAAGCATTTCAAAGGTAACGAATGTAATTTGTAAGTTGACTAGTAAATAGCTGGTGATTAGATCTTTTTAATTAGATTCTCGATACGATCGACGCCTTCCTTTTATAAAATATTTAAATAAACCGTTTTCGAATTTTCCTATTTATATATTCGCATAAAATCAAAATTACACAACAAAGTGTAAACAGTAAAATAGTAAAATATAGCGAGATATCGAAGAGATTTACATTAATTAAAATTTTCATTAGAAAAAAAAATAATCGCGGCGAGAAATAAATTCGATGGTGGAAAAGGATCGTAGTTGAGTATCGATCTTGGCTCGAGCTCGTTTGTGAAACGCGTAATTAAAGTCAAGTTGCGAGGACTATTTCCGAATCTGAGATTAAAATCGGTGATTTGTCGAAAGTTTTTGCAATTCAAATAAAATTAACAATTCCTTCGCGGAGAGGGGGAAAAAAATTCTTAGAAGAGAAAAATCGCGTTTCATTTCCAAAGCCGAAAGTTTTATAGAGCGACCAAGTTAGCGGGAATTTCAAAGGAAAAGATCCATAAAATAAACTTCCTTCCAAAGTGTCGTGCGCTCGCGTTCCGTTCCACGAAGCGTCGAAAGACATCGAAAAACTTTCCCGAAGTAATTTCACCCGAGACAGAAAGAATTCCTCTCCAAGCGCAAAAGCATTATCAGAATTCGCTCGTCTCGTTACAAAAACATCCTGTTTATTAACCTCGCACCTCGAATCTAAATATACGCGTTTACGCCCATTTATAGCTCGAGACAAAACAAAATTAAATTATCACGATCGTTAAAAGAGAGAGATGGTGAGCGAGCATCCTTCGAGAAGACGGAGAGGAAGGATTGATTCCTGAAATGGCGATTCGAAAAATATCGTGAATTTTCAAATGGCGCACGATCGAGAATCACCTTCGACTCCGTCATTCCGCTCGTATATTTCCTTACCCTGACTCCATGCTCCCGCCAAGGGCGGAGATTCGCGTGATGCTCGAACGGTCCAACGAAGACCACAGTGGATTTCGAGAGGTCGAGGTGTCGCAGAAGCGCGCGGAGGGCAGCCGCCGTGCCTTGACCCGTGAAAAGAACCGCATCCTGCTCTCCAGCTCCCACCGCGTGTCGGACGATGTCTCTGGCCTCGTGTCTGTAACGATCGTTTCCCGTCAGGACACATCGATCCGACCTTCCGTGGCCATTAACGATCGTAAAGTCGCCAACGCGTTTCTCGACAACATTTACCGATCTCGGTTTCCTTTGTCGATCGTGAGAGGTCGGATCGTAAATGGGACCGCGTTTATTGCCGCGACGATTTATCTTTCTAACGTTGATTCAAGGAAAGGATATCTTTTTTTTCACGAGATGAGTTGTCACTTTGATAAAAAATTCGCAACGAAAACGATTCTTGCGTACCCTTTGTGTCATTCCGCTGCAAAAATTTGAGTATTTCTTTCCTCTTTTTCTTTTCTTTTGGAAACATAAACACGAAAACCCTTTTTTCCTCCATTCAAAAAAAGTTTCCAGTATATATTTTCGCTCGTAAAATGTCCGTAAATACAAGAACCGTTGACGTTGGCGTTCGCGTAAAATTTAACCTTTCTCTCGCCGAGTCCTCGCCGCGAAAGGATGTAAAAGGATGGACGAGCGAGGGGAAAAAGGATGCGTTTCAGATTCGTGGAGGATCCGTAGTAGCGCGGTTGGGGCCAAGCGGTCGGGGCTCGACTCGGTGGATATTGATCTGGGACACGAGGCGGCGGGGAATGGGACGCCGGCCGAGGAACCACCCCTCGCACGTTCGACCGCGTATAAGATTTAGGGATAACGGGGTCGCTCGCGATCGAAAACTGTGCCAAGTAAGGGAAAGCCGCGGAGAAAAAAGACGCGGAGACGCGAAACGAAAAACGTGCGTGAAAAAGCTCGATCGGCGGGGAGACGGAGAAATGGAAAGGCGTGCGTGCGTGCGTGCGTGCGTGCGTGCGTGCTGTACGGTCGAGTGGCGCAGAAAACGAGTCTCGTTCACCGCGGAAACGGTATCGTCAACCGGAATCGAGCTACGGTATGTTAATCCCGGCGTAGGAAATCGCCGATCACGAATTCACAGCGCGTGCCCCGCCAATACTTTCTAACTCTATCCTCGCGCGATGCACGCGAGTATTTTATTTAGAAAACGTGCGATCGCGCACGAACGACGACGAAGAAGACGCAATTACGCGTTAGTACGAATAGCGGCGGCAATTCCTCCGATTAATAGGTCGGCCTGGAATCGGTTCTGGGAAGCCGGCAGCTGGTGGACGCGGATGTGTCGCGCTCGATGCCCGTCCACCGTGGACGATCCAACGTGCGTGCGCGTGTTCCTCCTCGCGACCTCGATCGTTATCGTGGCCTCTCTCGCGCGCGGAGATAGATAGGCGGAGAAATATCGGCGAGTGGAATGAAAGAAACGTTGGATCGTTCGATCGACTCACCTGAACAGAGACGATTGGAGGCTGCAGATGGAGGTGGACGCTCGGGTGTCGCCCAAATATGGCAGCACTTCCTTCGCGATGTACTCCTCGAGAAATTGCAGTGACCTTCCGGAGGCGGTGTAGTCGCAGTAGACCACTGTGAGAAAGATGAAACGAACGCTCTGAGATGCTTCTCGAAAGTATGCGAGAGAGAGAGAGAGAGAGAGAGAGAGGAGGAGGGAGGGAGGGAAAAAGTCGAGGAAGAGAGAGAAAGAGAGAGGGAGAGAGAATAGAGGACACGACGACCGCGGCGGTGGCAGCGGCGGCGGCGGTTCCTCGAGTCTCGCTAGAGGGAAATCGATCGTCGCTCGCGATAACGCGTCGTCGCGCGTGTTTTATTCAACGCGCGTTGCCAAGTATTTTTCTTTTCTTTTTTTTTTTTTTTTTTTTTTTTGAAAATTTCATACCATGGCATCGAACGCGATTCCAACGCGCTACCGGGTCAACGATTTCCAACGCATTCCCATTTTCTTTCTTTCTTTTTGCTTCTCTTTTTTCCCTTTTTTCCCATTTCCTGCGCTCGTTCATTGACTTTCAACGTGGCGTTTTCCTCGAACCGAAATATCCACCGAACCGGGAGGCCGGTGAGGAAACTGCGCGCTATTATTCTCCGAGCCGCGAAGAGAACAGGCGCCAACGACAGTGCGAAATGTTTATTCGACGATATATCGGGTGTGGCGTTTAGGCGTTCGAGACGAAATTCGAAACTTTTCTCGCAAGAGCAGTGGGCGGAGCGGTTGCCTAAGGTGTTCTATTAGCGTAACGCCAACTCGGGGAATACAAATTCGCGTCGAATCGCGAGAGAGGAGAGAGAGAGAGAGAGAGAGAGAGAGAGAGAGAGAGAGAGGGAGAGAGAGAGAGAAATAAAGTAGGTCGTGGTGTCAAGGCAACGCGAAGGTCGTCCGAAACACCGAAAACAACCGATTCGACCATATATATATATATATATACACATATTATTCCAATTGCTCCAATAAGAGCGAGCCAAGGGTCGCGAGATTCGGGTGAAACCTTGAAACGACCTTGACAGCTTCTATTCGATCCATACGTTCGGTTTTCCAGATACGTACCTATTTATAGGCGAAACCAGTTCATCGCATGCGAATCCACTCTCCGTTCGAGCCGGGTTAGTACCGCGTGTACATCTTTGGACGAAAAGAAATCTGAACCACTTTCCCAGAAAAGAATCGAAGAAACGGAGAAAAAAATCTCGAGCATCGAGATTCGCTCGAGGGATACATCATCGAGAGCTTTTCCAGGGAATACGCAACAAGGTCATGCGCTGTTCGAGCTTTGTTTCGTCGAATCGCTCCGCACCCCGCCTTTCCCCACCCCAGGCGATCGACATTCGCTCCCTGTCCCACCCTGTACATCGGTGTCGAGGCGTCGAAACAGCGGCCGTTGCTTCCGCTGCTATTTTCGGCCACCACTCGCTGCCAGACCGAGTTTACCAGAAAATGGAAAATGTTTATTCAGAGGAGGAGAATGTGAAAACGGTCTAGATCACCTTCCAACAAAGAAACGTGCACGTGCGAGCGTTTTGCTTTTCAGATTTTCATTTGTTTATCGAATTAGTCATAACCGGGGATCCGCTTTTATTTTCTTAAAAAAAAATATGTATATATATATTTATATTCGCCTCGTTACTTCTCTGCATCGCGAATAAAAATTGCGAAAGAGCACGTCTCCGATAATCGATCGAATAAGGAAAGAAAATTATTCGTTTCCATTCGAAATATTCGAAAACTTGACATTTCACGTTTCGACGTCCAACCTTTCCCCTCCATCCACCCACGAAGTTCCATCTTCGACACCCACGAGGCGTCATTCCAAGCTACTCGGCAAGCGCTCGTTTTTCACCCGCAAAAAGAGAGGAGGGAAGAAAAAAAAAAAGGATTCCACGTTTAGAACGTTTTCTCTCGAATCAAGGAGACGTTACATAGAGCGAAACGAAGTCCCTGTACGATTGCACCTGTTTCTCGAGCGAATAATTCTCGTTCTTTCTCTCGTCGAAATCTATCTATCTACCTTGCGAAATATTTAGATCGACGTTTAGAAATGTTTCGTTCTCCCGCGACGCAGGAGGAGGAGGTTATTCCGCGAGGACAAACCGAATCGGTCGCTTATTGGCAGGGAAAGCCAAGGTAGGCGAGGGATAATCACTCGCAGGTGTATGCGTTGCGAAACCGCGATCTGCAACCGGTCTTGGTCCGCGGGCGAAATAATTCCTAAGCCAGCGCGGCTTCCGACCGTTTCGAAAAGAAAAGAAAAGGAAAAAAAAATTATGCCGAGAAGGGGATAAATTGGCATCGCTGCTGCTACTGCTGCCGCCGTTGTTCAGGGAGGGATTAAGCGTGGAACTAAGCGAAATTTAATGGCCGTTTCGTAACTTCGTCCAACGCCGCTTACGTAAAGGCAAGGAGTTCTCGAACGAGCGAGTGGAAGAGTTATATACCGCGAGCCGATCAACAGATGGAAAACGGTCTTCCGCTTTTACTTTTTCGCGGGCATCGTGGCGGAACGGCCGCTTTCTTTGCCGCACAGATAAACAGCTGTTGTTTCGGGGGATTTAACGCTATTTAATCATTTAATAACGGTAATTTGTTCTCGCGTGCCGGCGTGAAAGTGTTAAATTAGAGAACGGATGCAGTTTAAAAAATCGTTAGGAAATATCCTCGATATAAGAGCCCGATGCGAGAAGATTTCGAACGAGAGAGAACGATTGATTCTGACCGCTCTATTCCTTCTTCCAATATATCTTATCTCTCCCTGCCGCGATCGCAAGGCTGTCCTATTTCCATAATATTATCGGAACCCGTCGTCGATTATTCGATCGCTCGATCTCGAACGCAACGATTCGGATATCTTTTTGCGAAAGAGAAACTCCATTCGATCTCTCAGATCTTCTCTTCAGCCTCGAGACACCACCGAACGATTCGACTCGGCAAACAGTGACGACGCTCGCGGCTGACGTCGAAATCTCGTTACTTTATCGAGGCCCGTCATCGGCTTCTATGTATCAATGATCGCTCGATTCTAAACCGTTCGAGGCAACGTCCACCACCCATCCCCTCGCCTTCTTCTCGGGAATTTCGTATTCGAGTACGACGGACAGCCCGAATGTCAACCACGCCTCCGTGGGCGTACAAGCGACCAGGGTCGAGTTTCGCGCAAATATATTTCGATCGTTGAAAATTGCACGCCGGAAAAATTGAAACGAAATCGACCGACTTTATAAATAAATATTTATAAATCGAACCACTCGACGTAACCACAAGTTTCGATAATTGATTTCTATCGCGTGTAACACAGCTCTGTAACCTCGTTGCACGGAGGATGCACGCTCGTAACTTTGCATACCGGTCGCTTTCTCCAGCTTGCGGGCACGAAGCCAAAGCTTGGCTCGTCCGATTCGTTCGCGGGAGGGATCGGCAAAGAGAAAAATAAAATAAAAAGAAATAAACGGAAGGACGGTTAACAGAGTCGCTTAATAGAGTCACGAGAGAGGCGAACCGATAAATCTAACGACGACTTCATCCAACGTGGCGGATGCGTGGCTCGTCGAACGGCCACGGCAGGTACCGGGAATCGCGGGGGATAACGCTTCTGGGCGTAGTTTGACCCAAATCCCGAAGGCGAGTCACCACGATTGCCCGGACGACCGTTCGACCCCGAATCGGCAACTATCCTCGCGATGTCCACGGAGCGCGATGCAGCGCGCTTCTTTGCGCAAGTGGAGCAGACTCGAACAAATGCCACTCGCAATGGCTCTGCCAGGTGCAGAGAGGAGGAAGGAAAAGAAGGAGAGGGAGAGAAGAAAGAAAAAAGAAAAAATAGAGGCGACGGACGGAGGCGAGGACGCGTGCGTGCGCCAACTTAGACAGCGGACGTATCGCTCGTCTGGGATAAACGGTAAATTACCAGCACTCCGCTTTCCAATTAGTCTTCAATTACGCGGGGACGAGTTGGCCGAACGACGGCACGCGTCCCGCCGACGTTTAACCGCTAAACGACGGCGGTTCTCTTCTCTCTCGAACGAACGAACGAGCTCTATCCGTCTCCGTCTGGCAATTAGTTCGAGGAAAAGTTCGTCCCGCGAATTGATTAATTCGATTCGCGAGGGACGAGCGAGAAAGCGCGGATCCGACGGGGGGGGGGGGTATGAGACGGTGGATGGGACGGTAAGGGATGGAATATCGATTAGGCGACGAGGACGCGTAGAGACGCGAGATTCATGGAACGAGAGTTGAACTGCTCTTTGAGGGAACGAACGTTTGAGAGATACGCGGATAGCTTCGCGAGCTATCTTTGCACAATTAAATATTTACGTAACGTCCGCGCAAGATGGCGACGCGTTTGTTTGAATGAGACGCGTTCCATTTACCTTCTGGTGATCGCTTTGTTTGAGAAACGTTTGATTTGGAAAAATATCTAGTAGTGGGAATGTTTAATGGAGCGAACGACTAATTCGCGTACGAAGGAGAAACGAGGGAGATGGATTTGTCGATTCATCTTCGGGACGATCCTCTTTTCTTCACTTCTTTTCTTTCCCTCTCGAGATTTAGCGTTCAGCTGCTTAGTTGCTGCCACTTGGTTCGCTTCGCTAATTGCAATTTGCATGTTGGACGAATATTCATATCTTTTATGACCAGTCTCTCCTCTCAATTATATATATATATATCTTTTTCCAAGATCTTACGTGTACGCAAAATTCTTCGCTAAGGCAATTACATCTACCATGGCCATTGAAAATACACGCGGTGCATTCTATAAATCCTCTCTTCGCTCGTTATCAGTAATCTAGCTAAAGCCTAACGTAAATATTTACTTAGTTCCCGATCACTCGTAATTCACGTGAATCGCTTAATTCCTCGAATATTACGCGATAAATATTATTTATTTAAATCGTATCATCATTAGCCTGTTTCGTATTTTTTTTCATTCTGTTTATCGGCAATAATATTGTAAGAAAAAAAAAAATAAATAAATAACCCGTATCCAAGTTATGAGGATACAATTAAAGTAGAATTGAAAATAATCCATAGAGACATATATGCGACAAATGCATATTTAAATCGTTATAAACGCACGAGAGGG